GGGCAGTTGTGCAACACAGCTGATTGTTTTTGGTAACTTAATTTATCTAGTTATTCCAGATAATTGCTATGCTATCCCAGGTGGTTGCTAAGGTGTTGCTAGGACATTGGTATGCTGTCCCAGGGTTGCCAAGGTGTTGCTAGGTCTTTGCTATGCTATCCCAGGGTTGCTAAAGTGTTGCTAGAATGTTATCGGATTGCTATGCTATCCCAAGTAGTTAGTAAGGTGTTCCTAGACCATTACTGTTTTCCCAGGTGTTTGCTAAGGTGCTGTTAGGATGTTGGTATGTTATCCCAGGGTTGCTAAGGTGTTGCTAAGACATTGCTATGCTATCCCAGGGTTGCTAAGATGTTGCTAGGTCTTTGCTGAGCTTTCTCCAGGTCACTAAGGTGTTGGTAGGACATTGCTATGCTATCCCAGGGTTGCTAAGGTGTTGCTAGGATGTTGCTGTGCCATCCCAGGTGGTTGCTAAGGTGTTGCTGGGATTTTTCTGTGCTGTCCCAGGATTGCTAAGGTGTTGCTAAGACGTTGCTATGCTATCCCAGGGTTGCTAAGGTGTGGTGAGATGATGCTATGCAATCCCAGGGTCGCTAAGGAGTTGCTAGGATGTTGCTAGGACGTCGCTATGCAATCCCAGGGTTGCTAAAGTGTTGCTAGGACGTCACTATGCTATCCCAGGGTTGCCAAGGTGTTGTTAGGTCGTTACTATGCAATCCCAGGGCTGCTAAGGTGTTGCTAGGACGTCACTTTGCTATTCCAGGGTTGCTGAGTAGGGCTGCAACTAACGATTATTTTGGTAGTCGACTAATCTGTTGATTTTTTCGATTAGTCAACCATTATTTCTGTCATGCCTTCCTTCTCTGCTTCCTGTGGGCGTGGCTCCTGTTCCTGTTTTACCTCATCTTCATCTTCAGCTTAATTAAATGTATGTTCCTGAGAGTTAGCTAACATAACTGAAATGGCGTTCTCTTAGCAAGCAGAGACCATGAGACCTTGCTTTCCACAGGTAAACTAACAAACATTACGGTACTAACATTAGTGGCTGAAGAGCAACGTGGTAGAAAACACCTTTACCCTTTCAGAGCAGAGTTAGGCCTGATTCACACATGCTGCCTCTGCATGGTGTGAGTGATGCGCAGCGCAAGCGCTACAGCTCGAAGGTGCTGGTCTTTCATTCATACAGCATTTGTCCTGCAGAGCAGTGACAAAGTTATCCAGACATTCCTGTTTCCAGTTGGATAAATGGTCACATCAGTCACTCTGCTCGACCAAAATATAATTAGGCAAAAGTTTCAAGCCTGGTAGACCAACCAGGAAATCTGTTTGCAGCGCGGAATGTTTAACTAGTATTTCGTACTGAATTAAATGAAATAAAAAATATAGCATTGTCAAGTACGATTTTCATATTTAGTGTATTTTGCTGCGTGGAAAAAATCGGCGCCGGGTCTATTCTCTAAACAACGTTGCGCTTCAGTGCGGCGGATCTGCCGCTTCGCATGCGCAGCCTGTGTGAAAGCGCTGATCAGTTAACTTGAGCGCCGAAATGAAAATCCAGACTTCCTGTGTCGCTCACGGCACGCAGTCGTAGTTTGTGTGAATTAGACGTCACGGCTCCAGGGTACTTGGGTTTCAGATACTCATGCATCGCCGTAGCGCTGCCGTGAAATGACAACTCTGCTTTACAGTCTGCATTCGACTTGTTTCACTGGTTTATTTCCGCTGAAATGCTCCCTGACTTTTCAAAGCTTCGGTCTCGCTACAAAGTTACACAGACACTTCTGTTTCCAGAAGGCGAGGTTTTGCCTCACCTTCTTCAAACCCTTTCCACGATTAGTACAGAACGCAGTCGTGCCAATGGAAGCGATACTGGCCTCACTTCCTGTAGTGCGTTGCAGTTACAAATTAATGACGCGCCGACACTGAAATTCTAAATTTTTATAATCGACGTTGTCCATTACATCGACTAATCGTTGCAGGGTAGTAAGGTGCTGCTAGACCATTACTGTGATATCCCAGGTTGCTGTTAAGGTGTTGCTAGTCCGTTGCTGTTATCCCAGGTGGTTGCTAAGGTGCTGCTAGGACATTGCTATACTATCCCAGGTGGTTGCTAAGGTGCTGCTAGGACATTGCTATACTATCCCAGGTGGTTGCTAAGGTGTTGCTAGAACATTGCTATGTTTTCCCAGGTAGATTCTAAGATGTTGCTTGCCTATTGCAGTGCTATCACAGATGGTTACTATTATGTTGCTAGCCTGTTAATGTTATTCCAGGTGGTTGCTACAGTGTTACTAGGCTGTCGCTATGCTGTCCCAGGTGGTTGTTACAATGTTACTACGCTGTTGCTATGCAATCCCAGGTGTTTGTTAAGTTGTTGCTAGGCCATTATTGTGCTGTCCAAGTGGTTGCTGAAGGGTTGTTCAATGCAGACATACATGTTTGATAAAGGACAGTTTATAGATGTAGGCTAATTTAAAGCACAAAAAAGATTCTGAAAATCATGTTTACATTAATTAAACCAGAAAAATATTTTCGCTACTGAAGATAAAAGTGTAAAACTTTCATGTTTTGCCTTTGAGGTTAAAGCTAACACTGGAAATGTCATATACTGAGGAGGACTCACCTTGTGCATGAGGTCTCTGAAAGCAGGTCTCTCGAAAAGAATGGAAGCTGTAATAAAGGCAAAGGATGGGCTAAGTCTGTGCATTAATACAGAATTCATTCAATTGCTATGTGTGGTCATATGTGTGTATTTTTACAATGGCTTCAAACATGGCTCAGCCAATGAGACTGAAGAACTTATTAGTTTTACTGTTACTATTAGTTTTATAATTTAATGATCTGGCCAAAGCCTTTGCAATAAACCATACCCAAAACTCTCAGATTGTCAAAAGTGTCTGGCACAGAGTAACTACAAATCAGATTTAATGGCAGTCACTAAAGGAGTTCCGCAAGGTTCAATCCTTGGCCCAGTCTTATTTAATCTATATATTAATGCTCTTGCTGCCTCCGCCTCTGAGTGCGCCTGTATGCAGGTGACACTATTCTGTATTCTTCATGCAGCTGTAGAAAAACCTCAGCGCTCCTTCAGTGCCTCACAGATTGCTCTGTATAAGCATGAGCTAGTTTTAAATGGAAAGAAAAGTAAATTCATGCTGTTTTCCAGAGCCCCTAATATTGATTTTAGCCAACATCAACACCCCGTCGGGATCCAGTATTGAGTGACAGAATATTTATAAAAAGAATCTAGTTCTTCTGTGTATGGCTGGACGTTAAATTTACATTTAAATATCACAATAATAAGCCAGTCAGTAAACAACGGCAAACGTTGGATACTTGTACCGAAATAAGATGTTTCCCAAAGCGCACTAGGATAAGCATCTTGGAGAAACCTTATTCTCCATCCTAGACTACGGTGATGTACAGACACAGATCTACTAAGATCCTTGAACCAGTAGATCCTGCCTGTCACTCAGCTGAGACCCCACAGAGCTCATCACTGGAGACTCTGACAGAGCTCATCACTGGAGACCCCCACAGAGCTCATCACTGGAGACTCTGACAGAGCTCATCACTGGAGACCCTCATAGAGCTCATCACTGGAGAGCTCATCACTGGAGACTCTCACAGGGCTCATCAGTGGAGACTTTCATAGAGCTCATCACTGGAGACCCCCACAGAGCTCATCACTGGAGACCTTCACAGAGCTAATCACTGGAGACCCCCACAGAGCTCATCACTGGAGACCTTCACAGAGCTAATCACTGGAGACCCCCACAGAGCTCATCACTGGAGACCCCCACAGAGCTCATCACTGGAGACCTTCACAGAGCTAATCACTGGAGACCCCCACAGAGCTCATCACTGGAGACCTTCACAGAGCTAATCACTGGAGACCCCCACAGAGCTCATCACTGGAGACCTTCACAGAGCTAATCACTGGAGACCCCCACAGAGCTCATCACTGGAGACTCTGACAGAGCTCATCACTGGAGACCCTCACAGAGCTCATCACTGGAGACCCCCAGAGAGCTAATCACTGGAGACTCTGACGGAGCTCATCACTGGAGACCCTCATAGAGCTCATCACTGGAGAGCTCATCACTGGAGACTCTCACAGGGCTCATCAGTGGAGACTTTCATAGAGCTCATCACTGGAGACCTTCACAGAGCTCATCGCTGGAGACCCCCACAGAGCTCATCACTGGGGACCTTCACAGAGCTCATCACTGGAGACCCTCACAGAGCTCATCACTGGAGACCCTCACAGTGCTCGTCACTGGAGACCCTCACAGAGCTCATTGCTGGAGACCCTCAAAGAGCACATCACTGGAGTCCTTCACAGAGCTAATCACTGGAGACCCCCACAGAGCTCATCGCTGGAGACCCTCACAGAGCTCATCGCTGGAGACCCTCAGAGAGCTCATCACTGCACAGTGTATTAAAAAGTTGGCTGGTATGGTGGGAAACTCACTGGTTTGTTTTTATTTACAGGGCGCTCTCCGGCCGTACGCCATCTTATATCACATCTGCGCTCTCTGTAAATAACGGTGTTTATCAGAGTCACTCTAATGACTGGATCACCGTCAGGTTCCAAGAGTTTTCACTGAACTGGGAAAATCTGCTTTTTTTATTGGTGCACTGGAACTGGAATTTACACCGAAATACATTAAGCTATGCTCACTGGTGTCAGTCCACCTATTTTATTGAATAATTTTTTTTTGTCTTTTTTAATTTACTTTTTATTTGTTTACATATTTCATTGCTCTTTTATCTCCACTTCTAAATTAAGCTTTTATGTTATTTTTTAAAAATTGTTCTTTTAGTCTTGTTAGTCTTGGTTTGTTTTAATTGATCATATTTAATTTGAAGTAATCCCTGTTTAAGTACGTTGTAAATGAGCGTCTTCTTCAATGTATTCCTGAGTCTAACTAAAGATTAATAATGCTGAATTTAAGGCGCTGTAATAAACCAGAACTCTCTTTTTCCATTGTGCCTCACAGATCAGTGCACGGTGACCAGATCGTACCTTTTCCTTCACAAGTTTTGGTTCTTCAGCACCATCTACTACTTCGGCAACTGGGCCTTTCTTGCAGTAAGTGTGATCATTAATTTTCACCTCCGAATGCTCTTCGCGAGGTCATCACCTGATTAACATGTCACACTTCCATTTTTAGGTGTTCCTGATCGGTTTGGTGGTGTCGTGCTGCAGAGGGAAGAAGTCGGTGATCGAAGGTGAAGTGGAAGCAGACGACTCGGACTTTAGTGATGATGAGTATGCGCACTGAGAAGGCAAAAAAAAGACACTGCTCGTTTATTTACACTAGGAGTGTCTTTCTCTTTGTTGCACACTGGATCTTAAACCTATCCCGACATAATTTACACCTCTTTTTGGTCGTTTTTGTTCATTTGTTCTTTTTTTTGGTAGGTGTTCGCTCTTAAAACGGAAGGTTCCTAAAGAGTGAGTAGGTACGGGGAAAAGACTTCATTGATATAGAACCTGTACATTATGCAGAGGTTCTTTAAGGGTCTTCACACTCGCAGATGTGGACCTTTAAAGAACCATGCACTGAACGGTTCTTGGAGGAACCAACACTTACTGGCACCTTCATTTTTAACAATGTCTCATCTGAAGAGTGTGAAATGAGCCTGTTGGCTGAAAGCTCAGTCGTCCGTGCTCTAAATCTGGGTCATATTTAAATTGTGTTGAAATGAAAAAAGAGCCACAAATTCTTTATTTCTTTGTACGAAGCATATCGTCACTGTTAAAAAAAGAAATATTTAAAAGTATCTCCGTTTTTTCCTATGAATGGACCAGCAGAAATGATCCAGAATGATTTGGAATAAATTCATTTTACATTAACTTGCATGGAAAGTTAGGAACATTTCAGTCTTTTTCTAAAAAGTTACTATTTTGGAGACTTTTTTTGGACAGTAATGATGTGAAAAAGACTCAGATTGCATAGGACTGTTTAAACGTGCCAGCATAAAGATTTCACGGCAGTGTGGATCCTAATCATTGTTTGGTCAAACATAATGGTCTAACATTTATTTCTTTTTTCATTAACAACTGACGTACAAGGTAATGCGCATGCTGCACTGTTATTTGGACCAATGAATCAACTTCAAGGCTTCTGTTTTAAAGCTGCAGTCAGTAAGATTGCCTTGTGTGCAACTGAAACCAAACAGGGCCTCTTTCAGTCCACTGAGGTGCAGTATTTTATGTAATATTATATTTATGCGAAAACAGAGTAACACTTTACGGTAAGGCAGTATTAATAAGGCTGCATGACGCCTACATAGCTGACAACCTACATAAACATTTATAAAGGTTTATTCTAATGAGCATCGTCTGTCATAAAGGCTGCTTTTGTCATCTCTGATGTCAACCTGACTGAAAATCCATGTCAGATGACAGTTTTTCTGACTTTTTCACGTTAAATGACATTGCATGACATACCAGTTGACTACTAGCGTATAACACAATGACATAATACTGATGTGACAAAGCTTAGATCTCATAAATGGTACAATGAAAGTCCCTTAAGGGCCATGTAAAAATGTTCATTTGGTTCAGCCAGCTTGACGTAGCAAGTTATGTCATATTGAAGGGCAATTCCACCAATTTTTCAAAATTCCTGCTTATTTAAGTGGTGAAGATGTAAACAGACTTGTTCAGAGTGGTTTGGTGTGAAATGCTCCTTTCTAGAGAAACTGAATTGTTCATAGTGGTGGTGATAGGAACCAGACGTCCCCCTCTAAAAGCTCCCTCACAGAAAGTTACTACATGAAATGGTTATGAATTCACTGCCTGATGACTGAGACACTGTTTTATGATAGTTTAGAGAACTTAAACTCCATTCATGGTGGAGGGATACATGCAGGGTGCTGTGAGGCAAAATAGTCCCCAAAGAAAACTTATTATTTCAGATTTTCCACTGTAAAGACACCTGAACCATTTCACCCCAACCCACTCTGGAATTCCCCTTTAATAGCATTATGTCACTGTGATGTACACAAAGCTACAAAGTCCACCATTTCACCCCAGATTGTGTCATGATACAAATTAATCTAGACACAGATACAGATCTCGATAGATGAGGTTGGCCAATGTGACCTTTATGACAAATGACATCTATCGGAATAAGTGTTTATGTAGGCCTATGTTGGCCTATGAAGGTCTTATGTCGGTGTCGTATAGCCTTACAAACACTGCCCTACAGTAAACTGTTATTAAAACAAAAAAGCAATGGTTATGACCTCTTGGCAGGGTTGGTTAGCAGCTAATTCAACAGAAAAGCATAAATCTTACAGAGTGTAGCTTTAAATGTCCTTGGAATGAAACCAAATGTAGTTTGAGACTGAATAATGTTGACTTTTTCATTTTTTTTCCAATTATAAATTAAGAAATATGGCGCTAAAGACAGTAGGATCCTTCTTATTCTGATTTATTTATTTTTAAAACGTCCCGATGCTGTCTATATTTCTGAGGATGATGTTCCAGTATTATGTAAAAAAACAAAAAAAACAAATCGCAACTTAATCAGTGAAACTGAAATGGTACCGTACATAACATACTAATGTTATGATTCTGTGAACGCTTGCTGATTTAAGCTTAATGCTCGATGCGTAGAGATTATTTTTGTTTCAACTGCAGTTTTATTATACTAAACGCTTTGAGTTTCACATACGATGTAAAGATCAGTGAGAACGATGGTGTTGCTATTTTGGATTTTTCTGAATGTCTGTGTTAATGGAACCCTTTTTGAATGGTTATGTCATTAAATAAAGACTAAAACTAACATCTGTGTCGTTTTTGCAGGACTTTCTACTTTAAGGCGAGCTCACTGCCTTAGAACACGATGGGGTTGATCTGACTTTTCACTTGTCTTGGCAAGCAGTAAATGTAGGCACTTTGTCATGAGTTCTCCCAAGCCAAGATAAGTTTGTTTAAGTCTTAATTGGTTTTAATTAGGGCTGTTAAAGAGTAACTACACCCTCTGTAATATGCTCTGTAATAATAAAATATACCAGCCTTGCTTGAAATGTAAACACATCTTTACAAACTGTAAAAATATTAATTTTATCGTGGTCAGTTCCGCCTTTGCAGCGCCCCCTCTGGTTCAACTCTGCCATAGGCACGGATGATGTGTCTTCGCACCAAAGTATGATGACGCCCATAGATTTGCAAGTATAGTGACCATAGATCTACATACTTAGATGCTGCATTGCCTGTCGTTCTCTATCTGAAGCCATACGTCTCCGCGTCTGCCATGTTGGAGAGGTCAGGATCCACTAATTCATTTGTATTGAGAGGCGATGAGTCTCAGGATTAAATCAGCCACAACTTCCTTATTACTCAACCGATTTTCACCAAATCTGTTTAGTTATAGTCCTCAGACACAGATTAATCTACTCTGCTCGGATCTGCTCTCGGCAGCTTTTATCACTTTAATAACTGATGGTGATAATTATCCGTCCGGACCAGCAGGAAAGTATTCAGTCTGCACCTGACGGTAAAAACCGAGTTCAGAGCTCCGGTAGAAACAATCAGACACATCAGCAAATCATCAATGAGTGAGTCACTTCTAATCTTAATACACATAACAATAAAATAAACCCCCTAAACACAGCGAGAAGGATGAAGCTGAATGGCTACCTATTCACCAGCTTCATGTTCGATTTTCCCCGTTCCACCTTAAACGGTGCAGCAGTTACTTTCTGGTACCTAAAGCACCACCATTTAAGGTGGAACAGGAAAATTTGAACAAGAAGCTGATCAATAAGATGTTGACTTCAGCTTCGTGTAAGAAGGAGCTAACGCTAATCTATTATGAATATCCACACGGATTAATGAATGCTGTAACTGCCTGGTTACAAAGCTTTAACCATCACTGTAAATAAATAACTACTACATAAAGTTAAGATCCTGAATAGACTATTAAATTAAATAAGCTTAACATAAAACCAGAGGAAAAACAATCACATCAACATGAGTGTGGATCACTGCGTTCCCTCCGTTATATAATCCTATCCCACTTTCTGAGTGTGATATTCCTGAAATAGTGTAATTTTGGACAGTATCTTTTTTTTAAACTGTCGCTCTGTAATGGTACTGAATGCGGTCCAGCAGCGATGTTGACCGCCCCAAAATGGTGGCGCCGTTGACGTGCCTGACTGGACCCAACACGGCATCTAGGTATGTATATCTACAAGCGAGACTCACTCAACAGAAATCAACAGAAGCAACACTGGAACTACGGAAAGTGAAACAGTTCAGAAAGGTTAATGTTAAATGACCATTGTTACCGACTCTGTCAACCTTTCATCCGTGCAGCCTTTCTCTGACTTTTTTCTTTGTTTTATCGAATACAGACCTGCTGAACAGATAATTAGAAGCTGGCTGTCACGGTTTTAGGGACTGTTCTACCGTTCGGTGCCTCTGCTGCTCTCTGATAATCATTTTCTGGCACTACAATAACTCTTCGGTGGCTTGAGTCAGCGGCTCATACTGTTAAGGCTCAAGAAGCTCTGCCTGATCAGAAACACCTTCCCTCGGCGAAGACGGGGATGGTAGTGGAGAAAGATCGTCAACCTTTTAAGACCTCTCAGTTGAAAAGTGCTGTTTGATTCTGTAGCTGACGTACGCTATCTCTAAAATCACAGCAGCCCAGCCCACCCAGTTTCCCTCGCAGCCCCAGCAGTTTCCCTCGCAGCCCCACCTCCAAACCCGAACATCACTGCAGCGCCCCTCCCAGCGTGCCCCGCCCATTTTTGAGCATTTTTCAACAATAAGCCATAGGTGGAGTGAGCTGAGAACAGTGGGGTGTAGTTACTCTTTAAAGTTAGCCCTTTAGAACCGGTCAGCGCGACGAAATAACATGCTATCTTTGAAACCAGAGAAACGGCACTAAAATAATAAAACCCTACAGAAACCTGCAGGTACACTTACAGAAAACACAGCTACCTTTGCCTTTGGTGTGAAGCTCGTTCAGTCATTTTGTACACGGATCAGTTTCCATCCACATGACGTGGCTTGACTGGCTTTGGTTAGCGAGCCACAGCCAATCGGAGTGCATGATTCGGAGATTTTAAAGTCGATGTGGGCGTGTCCATAGAACAGATTGGAAGTAAAAGAAGTAAAACCTTCAAATGACTTGTAGGTCAGAGGCTTTTTTGCGTTTTTTTGTGTTTAAATTCTGTCAATGTCATGGTTTAACTTTTTTATTCAAGGAAAATGAAAAAGGTTTTGTGCTACTTAAGATTTATGGGGCAATTCATGAATATAGTGTGTGGAAAATATTTACTGAACGGTGTTTTATTAGATTTGGTTGTGCTAAATCTGGGGATATGTAACACTTCATCTTTCAAAAAAAACAAAAAAACACAACGAAGTTGCAAAACATAGAAGTATGCAAAGGCGGAAGTGCATCAGTGTAGGTTTCCAAGGGTAAATTAGTTAATAACACATTAATAACACATACAATTTCCAGCAAAGATTGGAGTTACTAAGGGGGAATCCCAGGCAGTCAGTACTGCACCAGAGGGAACTAATATAAAGTATTTTGTTTGGATTTTCCACTATTTTCCATCATCAACATTCCATATAAACTCAGAAGACTCGTGTAGGTTCACTGGTGGTTCTGGATAGTAAATAAAATGTCTATATTTGTGTTGTAGTCATGGCGACGCCTGGTTCCTATCACCACCACTGTAGAGACATCTGAACCATTTCACACCAAACCTCTCTGAATCACTCTGTTTACACCTCACACACTGAGTTAGGCAGGAATTTAGAAAAATCAGTGGAGTTCTCCTTTAGTAAAATAGGAGTCACTATAAAGTTTATTCCTCATTCATTCCTGTGCTGTTCACTGGTTAATTCATTACTGTTCTGCATTCTAGAAGAACATTTTAGATGTTCTGGTCATAAGAGAAACATCCTTGTAGTGGTTTTAAATGATTTATAGATGAATTAATTATTAAATTATAAAAAAAAGGTTTATTTTTTAGTCAGTAATTGAAATATTTCTAGCTTACATTATTTAAAATGTCTATTATGCAACTTTCTTGCACATATTTCTTCATGTTACTCTGCCGTTGAAGTAATTTCAGAACGGGGGCGTATGAGGTCAGCGAGCTTGCAGGCAGGCGCGCTGGACGCTGATATGGTGGCTTGGTGCGCCAGTCGGCACACTGCTATGGACAGTCCTGTGTGCTTTTCATGTTCTCACCTGGACCAGCTGTTCTCCTGATTCATGGGCCTTGTTACTATGACCGCCAGATTCTCTCGGCAGATGGCAAAGTGTTTGGAAAGAAAAACAACAACAAACGGCTCTCGGCTCGCCGTAATAGGCCAGAAAGGCTGGGTGGGGACCGAACTGAATCTTGTATTCAGACTTTCTTTGTATGTCTTTTCACAATTGGCCAACATTTATTCAAGTGTTTTTACACTTACTGCCTAACTTCTACCCTTAAGGTCTACTTTATAAACACTGTGGGTGGGCGGCACCAACAAGGATTGCATTCAGCTGAGTTTAGAGCTAATCAAGGATTTGTTAATCCAACATATCAACATATCAAAACCTTAATCTGCCATTACACGGTCAGAAATGAAGGTTCTGCTCAGGTACATTTTTCATTCATCAAGGTACAAACAACGTAAATGTTCCCTCAAAGGTACAGCAGTGGTTCTTAGGTCCAATTGTCAACGCTTGTTTTGATGTCTTTAATCCATGTTGCTCCTCTGAGTGGTAAAATATTAGAAATAACAGTTAATGCAAATATAAATGTATCTCAAGACGATTATGGGAAGCTGTAAAATGCAACACAGCCTACATTAAAAAACAAGAAAATCTTAAGGAACTAATTAAGATTATCCTAAGAGATAGTTTTCTTCGAGAACTGCATTTAATAACATTCATATAAACTTCTTAGTGTTTGTTTTAAGAACCTTTGCAGGTTTTTCTTAAAGCTTTCGTAAATCCAGCACCTGGTCTTGTAAAAGGTACAGTAGGATGAAACATGCTCAGGACTGAGGACCTGAACTCACAAGGTAAAAAAGGCCCATTTTGGTTTCCGGTTGACTTTAAAATACTACAGGGAGATTCACTCGAAAGAGGCCCCGAATATTGAAGCAATCTGAGCCAAAAAAATACGCTACATACCTTGACGTATGTGTAATCGCGCCAACGCAGGGGCATCCCGGCTTGTTCGAAGCTCCGTATACCGAGGAGCAGATTGCACGTTGTTTCGATCCGATTGCTCTGTCCTAGCAAGAGTTATTACAGAATATTCGGGGCCTCTTTCGAGTGAATCTCCCTGTATCATCTATCAAGTTATTAAACAATCTGTATGTCTGTGTTGATGCGGAACTCAGGAAGAGCAGCTGTTGACTTTGACACATCCAAATAAACCAGTAAATGTTAAACCTCTTAGTTTGATTTAAACTGAAGCAGAATCCGTGATTAGCACTTGGCCGCCTGAACTACTGACCAGTAACTGTTTATTTTTATGTTTTAACCTAATTTGTTGCAAAGAATAGACATGGCTTTTTAAAAATCAGGCCATTGTCCTGGACAATCAGTAAAAAGTAAAAGTTACATCTTGTTACATCAAATTTGATCAATTAACTTGATAAAAATGAATCAAGAGTTATCGTATTGTGATTATCATTTTGTGTTATGTTGAGTGTAGTTTAGGGAGTGACGGCTCCATGAAAGTCAACGTGAACTACAGCCCATCGTCCTTCGTATTGTGACGTATTTCTGAGTGAAACACGGGATTAAGGAGGGTCTCTGAG